CGGGATGATTCTGGTCGTGAACGCTAGGCTTGTTGTTCTTGACGACCGGTGGAGGCCCTTTTCTTGGAATATATATGTTTCTTGGGAGCCATATCTGCAAAGAGGCAAAGTGTGAGAAACATAGCTAACATCAGAAGAAAAAGTGACTTGTCGTAAAATTCCTATCTGTTAATAGGAGATAGTTATGCGAAGTGTTTTGCTATTGCATATGCACTATGTGGTTTGCATAACCATCGCAAAACTATGTGCTTGGAAAGTTCATCACACTATGTGATCGCAAAATCCACCGCAAGGATGGATTTGCGATCGCAAAACAGCCCAAACAACATGTTACAAAAAGCCAGAAATTATTGAAGTATGCGGTGGCTTTGCGGTCCGCGTATCACTTATGCGATCGCAAAGCCTCCGCAATTTGTCATCTTCCTCAAGTCCCCTAGGGTTTCTTATGCGGCAACAATGCAGACCACAAATCGACTATGTGATCCGTAAAAGTCTCCGTCCTCAATGTTTTGGACACCACCCTCTACAATGGTGACCCTAATTTCACTATCCAGTACCCCAGGCCTAACTAATTATCAAAGAACTCCCCCATTACGAGCAGATACCCGAATAACGAAGAGGAAGAAATAACAAACACTAAGGAACCTAATAAAACAGGAAAACACACAACAAAATTAAACTAAATTTAATAGAGATGAAATCGGGAAGGGAGAAAAGACAAGAAATGGATGATTGAGAACACTTAGGAGATGAATTCAACAATTTGGGATCGTTGTTTACTCTTTCAATTTCAACTAACCATTTTCATTTCTCCTTTTTCTTTTTGTTTTGTTTTCTTTCTGATTTTTTTAGTTTAAAAGTGTTTGAATGCTGGTGGGTTTTGATGTGCGAAGGGGTAGGAATACTTACCTGTTGACTTTACGGTGGATAAGTCACCGCATAACACCTTATGCAACTGCATAAGTGTTATATGGTGGTTTCAACTCGAGTTGCTCACTGACACAATGTGGTGCACTTGTGGGATCGCATAACTGATATGCGGTATGCAAAGTGCACGTCCTCATCACATTTCTACCATCAATACTTGTTGAACCAACTGCCCAGGTCTGCGACCACTATGCTGTCCTCATAGTCAAAATGCAACCACATATGTGTAGCAGATTTCCCATGGTATCTTTTCTTCGCTTTCACTTGCAATTTTACCCATGTGTTATGATCTTTTGAATCACCTTCACTCTAACACACACATTAAATTGCTCAATAAAATCTATCTAACAAAAGTTAAAATTTAAAGGACAAAAAGTATGTCACCACACATGGGTTGCCTCCCATGAAGCTCTTGATTTAATGTCGGGCATGGACCATCTTTGAGAGCCAATTGTTCCACCAAGTGTTTTTCACCATCTGTGCCCAAGTAGTGCTTGCCTTGCTAGCCATTTACTTTGAAGGTGCGTAGCCCATCCTCCGATTCTAATTCTACAGCTCCAAAAGAGGATATATCTACCACCTTGAATGGACCGGACCAGTTCGATTTGAGCTTGCCAGGAAACAATTTGAGCCTTGAGTTGAAGAGCAAAACCAAGTCACCCGACTTGAACCCCCTTTTCAAGATTTTTTTGTCGTGGAAGAACTTCATCCGTTCTTTGTACATAGCTGCACTTTCATATGCATGGAAACGGAATTCCTCCATTTCATTGAGTTGTGTTAACCTCAAATCTGCAGCTTCAGCCCAGTCCAAGTTCAAACTTTTTAAAGCGCACATGGCTTTGTGCTCCAGTTCTACGAGTAGATGACAAACTTGCCGAAGACTAACCGATAAGGAGAATTGCCACTAGGGGTTTTGTACGTTGTGCGGTATACCCATAATGCGTCATCTAGTTTCCTTGACCAGTCGGTCCTGTTAGCATTACCAGTCTTTGCTAGAATATTCTTTATCTCCCGGTTGGAAACTTCAACTTGGCCACTTGATTAGGGATGATAAGGTGTGGCCACCTTATGCTTGACGCTATATTTCTCTAGTAGCCCCGAGAAAGCCTTGTTACAAAAGTGAGACCCACCATCACTAAGAATGGCTCTAGGAGTGCCAAACCGCGTGAATATATTTTTCTTTAAGAATGTGGTCACACTCCTTGCCTCATTGTTTGGTAAGGTAATTGCTTCAACCCATTTGGACACATAGTCCACCGCAACCAAGATATATTTCATACCACATGAGCTTACAAAGGGGCCATAAAATCAATTCCTACACATTAAAGATCTTGATCTCCATCACAAAGTGCATTGGCATTTCATGCCTCTTTGACATTGATCCTTCCCTTTGATATTAGTTGCAAGCCTTGACCATTTGATTGGCATCATGATAAATCGACGGCAAATAATAACCAAGTTCAAGCACATTTTCCATCGTTCAATTGCCTCCATGGTGACCCCCGATCGCTGAGTCGTGGCATGCCTTTATAATTGTCATAATTTCTTCTTCTGGAACACACCTTCTGATGATGTTATCAGCACATACCAGGAACAAGAATGGTTCTTCCCAATAGTATTGTGACAATATATCAAAATCTTCTTCTTCTGATAAGCTTCCAATTCATTCGGAATAAGGTCGCTAACCAAGTAGTTAGCAATATCGGCGTACCAAGGAGCAAAAGTTTTAGATAATGCCAATATGTGTTCGTCCGGGAAAGCATCGTTGATTTCAAGATCCTCCATTGGTCTCCCTGCCTCTTCAAGCCTAGATAAACGATCTATCACTTGTTTTTCCAACCCTTTTCGATCTTTGACTTCAAAGTCAAATTCTTACAATAACAGGACCCACCGAATTAACCTAGGCTTTGCATCCTTCTTTTCCATAAGATAGCGAAGAGCAGCATGGTCTATGTACACTATCACCTTGGATCCTAACAAATAAGACCGGAATTTCTCAAAGGCATAAACGATGGAAAGATGTTCTTACTCAGTCACTGTATAGTTCATTTTTGCGCCATTGAGTGTCTTGCTTGCATAATAGACCGGGTGGAGAACCTTGTGATGACGTTGGCCAAGCATTGCCCAAATAGCTACACCACTAGCATCACACATGAGTTCGAATGGAAGTGACCAATCGGGTGTGACAATAATAGGTGATGTGGTGAGATTTTGTTTCAATTCCTCAACGTCTTTGAGGCACTTCTCATCAATCACAAATTTTTCATATTTCTCGAGGAGTTTGCACATGGGATTTGAAATTTTGGATAAATCCTTGATGAAACGCCTATAGAATCTGGCATGCCCCCAGAAACTTCGGACACCTTTAACTGAAGTAGGTGGAGCAAGCTTGGAAATGATCTCGATCTTTGCCCGATCAACTTCTATGCCATGATTGGAAATTTTGTGGCCCAAAACAATGCCCTCATCCACCATGAAGTGGCATTATTCCAAATTTAGCACAAGGTTCGTTTCTTCACATCTCTTAAGCACTTGTCTAAGGTTGTCTAGAAAATGATCAAACGAATCGCCCACGACCGAGAAATCGTCCATGAATACCTTTAACAAATCCTCCACCATATCGGAGAATATTAACGTCATACACCTTTGGAAAGTGGCAGTAGCATTGTACAACCTAAATGGCATCCGGCTAAATGCAAACGTACTATATGGACAAGTGAATAATGTCATTTCCTAATCATCCAATGCAATGTTAATTTGATTGTAGCCGGATTATCCGTCCATGAAGCAATAGAATGACCTCCCCGCTAGCCAATCAAGCATTTAATTAATAAAAGGCATAGGGAAATGGTCCTTGCACGTAGCACTGTTTAGCTTCCGGTAATCCCTACACACCCTCCATTCGTTCACCGTTCTTGTTGGGATGAGCTTGTTTTTATCATTTTCAATCACTGTCATGCCTCCCTTTTTCGGCACACATTGCGCCGGGCTCACCCAAGAACTATCGGCAATAGGGTAGACTACCCCGGCATCCAACCACTTGATGATTTCTTTCTTTACCATTTCTTGCATGGAAGGGTTTAACCTTCGTTGATGCTCCACACATGGTTTACCCACATTCTCCAATTGGATCTTGTGTTCGCAAATTCCGGCAGGAATCCCCCAGATGTCCGCAATTGTCCATCCAATAGCTTGCCTATGCTCATTCAAGACATTCAACAGTGTCTCTACCTGCACATCATTCAACAAAGAAGAAACAATTACCGGTAGAGTGTCATTTGAGCCAAGAAATTTATACCTCAAGTGTGGTGGAAGTGGTTTGAGCTCTAGTTGTGGTGGCTCAATAATTGAAGGCTTTGCGGGAGGATTGGCTCTGTTCTCCAAGCCGAGAGAGAGATTCTTCGGAACATAAGTGTATGACCCAAGTCCTTCCAATGCATTGACTTATTCCATATACCCCTCCATATCTTCACCGTCCATGTTTACCAATATAGCCGCCAACGCCTCAGCGAGGCATTGTTATTCCATCTTTATTTTCACCGCATCCTCCACTTCATCAACAACATCTATCACCAAGATGCTTTCATATTCATGTGGTAGTTTCATACCCTTGCTTGCTTGGAATGTAACCTCTTCATCATTCACGCGGAATTTGATCTTATTTCATTCTGAAGCCATTAGTGCTCTTCCTGTGGCAAGGAATGGTCTCCCCAAGATAATAAAGATCTCTTTGACAATTGCACAATCAAGGATTAAGAAATCAGCGGGTAAATGAAACTTCCCCACATTCACAAGCACATCATCGACAATTCCCACCGTCTCTTTATGGAACGACCAGCCATTTCAAATCTCATACTTGTGGGCCTTGGAATACCCAACCCTACTTTCTTGTAAATGGACAGAGGCATTAAGTTGATGCTAGCCCCATTATCACAAAGGGCTCTTGCAAAATCACGTGCCCCAATAGTACATGGAATGGTGAAAGCTCCCGGGTCTTCTTTCTTTTGAACGGTGGTTGTTGCAATGATTGAACTAACCCGGTGAGTCACACTCACCACTTCATTCTTGGTAGTTCACTTCTTGGTAATCAAGTCTTCCAAATTTTTAGCAAAACCCGGCATCTCTTGAAATGCTTCCACAAATGGAATATTCACTGATAACTGCTTGAGAATGTCATAGAAATTTTCAAGTTTTCTATCATCAACCTTCCTAGCATGTCTCTGAGTTAATGGAGAAGGAGGTCTAGGAATAGGTGGTAGAGTTTTTGGTGTCGCTTTTACCTTTTCCTTTACCTCTTCCCGATTTACTTCTTGCACTTTCAACTCTTCGAGAACCCTTTTTGATTCAACAACAATTGGCTCTTCAACTTGTGCCTCAACCTCTTGTTCGGACTCTTCCACTTCAACAACTTGTTCGTTCTCTCGTTGAATTAACTTCCCACCCCGAGTAGTAATTTCCATGCAATGAGAAGTTGGACCACTCCCACTACCCTTTGGGTTCGCAATTGTGTCACTTGGAAGTCTCCCTTTTTGCTTCAGATTTTGTTCCCTAGAAAGATCTCTCATTTGCATCTCTAATTTTTAAATGGATGCTTTAAGAGAACCCACAAGCTCGGTCATATTCCTCATAGAAGTGTCGGACCTCTCTTGATTTTGCAATACTCGTTCAAGCATGCTTTCCAACTTGGTATCACTTGAGGAACCTTGATTTGAATATTGACCCTTTGGTGGAACATAAGGGTTATATCTCCAATTTGAGAAGTTGTTGTTGTTGTTGTTATTCCAATTTTCTTGATTTGAGCTACCTTGGTCATTTCGCCACTGTTGGTTGCCTTGCCCTTGCGGGTTAGGCATCCATTGATTTTGTTGTCCTTGACCTTGGTATTGTTGCCTTTGATATCCTCCTTGAGAGTTTTTGACATAGTTTGCTTCCTCAAAGATTTCATTTGAATTGGTTGCATATCCTCCACCACATTTACCTTCTTTGTTTGGCTCTCAATGAACATCTTTGTCAACACATTGACATTGGTGGCAAGCCCTGCGATTACTTGATCTCTCTCTTGATTTTCCTTAATCATGTTGGTCATGGAGGGAGAACCATATGCAATTCCACCAGTGGTGTCCTCTGAGTTCCAAGCTTGATTATGTTGTGCCATTTTGTCAAGGATTTGTGTGATCCTTGCGAATGTCTTGTCCATAAAAGATCCATCAGCTGCATTCTTGGCTATAGATTGGTTCATAGCATCTAAACCCATGTAGAATTTCTCCAATAATATAGAATCCGGAAAACCATGATTGGACGACCTCGCCAAGTATAACTTGAATCGATCACACGCCTCATCTAAATGTTCTCCCGGTAGTTTCTTGTAAAAGAAGATATTATCCCAAAGCTCAGATTTCTTGCTTTGGGGGAACCATTTAGCTAGGAATGCTCGGAGATGTTCACGCCAAGAATGAATGGGATTTTGTGGCATATTTTGAAGCCATTTCCTTGCGTCCCCCAGCTAATGAGAACTTGAACACCCTCAACATTAGGGCATCGTCTGAGACGTTGTACTACTTATACATCGCGCACACACCAAAGAAGTTTCTATGATTTTGTGTTGGATCATCATCATGTGGAATTCCTAAAAAAACCCTCCGCTTTGAGCATTAGGATTAAACTATGTTCCACCTTGAAAGTTGCAGCACCAACAACCAGAGGTACAATAGCATTTGTATCCTCAATGTACTCATCTATATCCGCAAAAGGATTTTCCTCCATTTCTTCCTCATATTTAACCATAGTTTCCTATCAACACCAAGAAAAACTAGCAGAGTGTGATGGAATAGAATAAGACGTAAAGTAAAGCACACATTAATTAGTAATTTGAAAACCGTATTCCTCGGCAATGGCGCCAAAATTTAATATGCTCAAATTACACAATAATTAAATAGTGTAAGGCGGTCAAAGTCAAATATAGTAACCCAACACGATTGGGGTCGAATCCCACGGGGAATAGACGTGAAAAGGTTACTTAAGTAGTGTACTACTTGACTTGGGTCATAATTCTATTTCGTAAATTGTAACAAGAGAATGATATGATTGTGAATTGAAGAGATAACTAATTCTAACTTTGATAATGTAAATAATTTGATTAGGGAAACCAAGGTTGTGTCACCTTCAATGAAATGTAATGTTATCGGTGTTAATATGATATATTTCTAATGGAAGGTCCCTTAGATATGCAAATGAATTCTAAATGACTACCCAATATTTTCCAATAGTTGGGTAGTATTTCCTCTTTATGATTTTTCCAAATATAAAAGAGTTGCAGTTAAGAGTAATCAATTTATGCCAAATAAAACCCACTTATTCAAAGCGATTCTACTAAACAAGGTTTAGAGCCTTGAGTCTTTGATATTTACTTCTACCAAACTCTAACTCACTTTTCCAAGCAAAGAAAGAGTTTAGCGGCACTTGTTAATGTCTGCAACCACCAACAATAAATGAAGAATGAGAAATAAATATATATCAACCAACCATTATATATATATTCAATGTTAAACACTCATTAACATAACACCCATTTAGGGTCCACAACCTTAGTATTAAAAGCTAGCTACTCATGCTAAAATACAAAAAGATGAGAATATTAAATTCCATAAAGCTTACAAAGTGCAAGATTCTTCACTCCTAAAGCTCCAAAAGAGAGGAATTTACAAAGGTTGGAATGTAGCTCAAAAACTAGACAAGATTCTCCCAAAAAACCCCAATAAATCTATTTATAGTGGGCAAAATCTCGAGACCAAATTCGGACCCAGGTTAATTATGCAACTGATTATCTGTCGCACAACAGAAATGCGGTCCGCATTCTCGTCAAATCCATCGCATGTAGGTTATACGGTCCACATTTTCGATTTGCGATCGCATTTGCCACCGCATTTCAGACATCAGCCACTGCTACAGAGGGTTTGCGATCCATTATGTGGCCCGCAAACCTGTTATGCGGTCGCATAATGGAGCGCATTTCTTGTGTTTGAATTTGGCTAACCGGACTGTTGGACTTTGCGGTCCTTCTGAGCATTATGCGGTCCGCATGCTAGATTTGTGATCGCATTTTGCCTTTTTCATGTCCTTCTGCGGCTTTTTTTCATTTCATTTTCATGTTCTTGGGTCCTTAAGCCTCATATACTGCAAAACATTAAAATTACATAAGTATAACAGAAAATTTCATTTAAAACGAGCTAAAATCTAAGCAATTGGTATAATATGTGCCGAAATTCTCCGGCACATCAGGCCTTCTGAACTTCTTTGGAATAGATTTTGGGGCCGCTTCCTGCGGGAACGGCTTTTGCACGAACTTCTTCGACTCTACGCCTTTTAGGATCGGGGGTGCGCTTGGAATTCGGTTGATCCTGAAGTTATAGGTCTCGACCTTCTTGTCATTGGCTTCTATCTTCTTCTCGCCCGACTTGATCCTCTTTGTGAGGTCCTCGAGCATCTTTACGATGGAGAGGTCGACTGTCGACCCGTTGTTGCTTGATATCTTTGGTACCTTCTCGGCCGGGGGATCCATTCTCGGTGCTACCGTGCTGGGAGTTTTCCAGTGACTTTGCAGCTGAGCAATCGCAAGTCTTTATGCCTGTAACATTTCAAAAATAACATGAAGGCTAACATGTCGTTCTTCCCTAGTCGGGGTTTTCTGGACTTCTTTTTTGTCTCGTTGATGCACTCTCTTATTGGTGTGGGAGCTTATATCGACGTGTTGGGCATCGCGTGAGTCCGTGTCCACAGGAATCGGTTCTGGTGCATTCCCATAGTTTCGTGGTGGTACACCAACACCTGGAATATCCACACCGTTCTCTCTGTGGTCCTCAAGATTGTTTTTTTCAGCTCTATTTACTGAGTTAGACATTTTGACCTGAAATCGAAGATCTTGGACATGAAAAAGCGTGAAAGATAACTTGCGTTATGTAGCAAAACCAACAAGAAAATAATCACTATATTTTTAACCCCATAGTGGGTGCCAAACTGTTTACCGTAAAAATGGTAATAATAATTGAATTTGATTATGAGGTTCTAAAAATACGTGATCTATTTTTATGCTAGTTGTTCGGCAGTTGAAGCTACGTGAAAGACTTAGAAACGAGGTAAGAGTTTGAGAACAAGGTAATAACCAAACCGAACGATTAATAATGGGGCCTCGAGCTTGCATATTCGGGGGCTTCGGGGTCGAGTCTGATGCTCGGCTGGGAGCTGTTGAGGGTGATCGTTGAACGAATAATAGTTATAATAAATCAATAACGGATCTTTGTGGCCAATAATAAGCAATAAATGAACAACAATAAATGGAAAACAATGAATATAATCAATAAATGAAATAATGAGATCAAGAGAATATGTTAGAGAGTAGAGTGAATGTTCGTGTGTTTCTTAGTATTCAGCAATAGATGTTTACAAAATGGCAGGGATCCCCTTTATATATTAGGGGAAATCCCAACATAGTACAAATACATTTATTACAAAGTTATGTAGATGATAAAACTTGTTGATGCCATGATGCGGGCTTAGACTAGCTTGACAGACTTTGTCGGCTCTAGATTCATGACTTGGGAACTCCCCACTTTCTCAACGTAACCGTCGATCCGTACTGCTCCGAGGTTGAGCATGGATAAAATTTGAGGGATGAAACTCGACCGTGGTTTTAAGCCTTCCAGATGTCGTAACGATGGAAAATTTGACCCTCCGCTTTTACCGTATACACCCAGTCATATCAACAACAATATTGAGGTACTATAATTCCATGGCTTGATCCAAAGCGAAACTCAAATTCTCAAAATTAGCAAACCATTCTAATAAATTCTATTTACCTCAAAAAATGTAAGTAACAATTAAAGATAATTTGTTGCTTTGAAGATATGTGATTTATTCCAATACTAGTGGATATATAAGTAATATTAAGTTTAAGAAAGATGAAGTAATGAACCAAACCAGTGCTGTTAGAGTAATAAGGACCTCGAGCTAGATTATCTCAGGGGCCTCGAGGTGAGCTAAGAGCAATAAAGTATGAACAATAAAGTAGAAGAACAACTATTGAGCACGGTAAACAAAAAAAGATAAGTAGAATGTTCTATTTCAGTCAATAAGATCGGATCATTTTTACAAAGGTTGGGGTCCCCTTTATAAAGACGGGGAAAACCCTAACATGGTATGTCGCGCCCCCTTTTTTTTCCTCGCGAAGTCCGGGTTTCGATAGTTTTTGGGACAAGTCCTTTCCTTTTGGGAATTGGGTATGAGATTTGAAGAGTCGCCACTTAACGGATTAAGGTGCGTTAGGGAACCTAGAGCCAATAACTCATGAACTAGTTTACATTACCAGATATTGGGTAAGGACTCGAAACTACGTTGAGGGGAAGGTGTTAGGCACCCCTCGAGGTCCACAACAATGGGTCCCGGCCAAACTCAATTTAAGTGAATTAATCTTATAAGCAACATAAACAAATAAATATTACTCTTAAAACAAGGAGTAAAGGGGGTCCTACGTTTTTAGCCTATAGGATCACTTCTGTGGAATACTTGATAATCGTCCCCAAATTGGGGTGTTACACATAGCATTAGCGCACAGGTCATCATTTCCTTTACTACCAAATTACCCTCCCTTTTTCAATTATTACGTAAGCGTTCTAATAACATCCAGTACGTACCTTATGCGTGCACTACCTGTCCCTTACATGTGGCCCTGGAGGTGTTTAGAGCCTCTATTTAAGGCGGTTCTAGACTCACCTATGTTGTTTAAAAGGAGAAAAATAAGCGAAAAGCAAAAGTCAGGTAGGATTGTCACATAAGAAGCAATCAAGGGGGCTCATATTAACCTCCATAAATAGGCAAACAAATGCACGTTGTTCAAACAAACAATTTTAAATTATTTTAGGATCCTATAGGCAAGATATCTAAATGAGCACAAACAGAATATACAACAGTTTATTAAAGCGAGCAGACGAGTACCTATCAGTTTGCGTACTAACTTTGTTAATATTCTGAATCCGGGCAGGAGTCAAACAAGCAATCACAGTTTTTAGACCTAGAATTTAATTAACCTACAAGCTTGCCTAAGTGATAGTCTGGCAGAATCCTATAGACATGGTATCTAAGCTGTATACAAGTTACTGATTTTAGTAGGCCGATTTTATCTTAAATCCTATAGGCATGCTTTCTAAATGCAGAAATTGATTCCTTTATTTTCTATAGGCATGATTTCTAAATGCAGAAATGGATTTTTAACACTTACTTCTTATACGCATGATGTCTAAGCCTCAAGACTAATTCTATATTTTTTTCCTATAGGCCTGATATTTAAATTGCAGAGAATTAATTTTGAAACCTTATAGGCAGGATTTCTAAGTGCATAAACATATTTTGAAATCCTAAAGGCATGGTATCTACAATTGTAAACCTATAGGCATGATTTCTATGTCCTATTGCCATGGTATCTACAATTGTAAACCTATAGGCATGATTTCTACTAATCACATGCGTAGGCATAATTTTTTACGCACATTGCTAGAAAAATTGTTATTCAAACATACAAGATCCTATAGACATGGTTACTAATGCATAAAATGTGCATGGGTCCTATGGACATGATTTCTAATGCAAATAATCTATGAACATAATTTCTAGCATACGAGTGAAGTACAGAACAAAACAATTAGAAAGTCGTATAAACATTGTCTCTAAACAAGTATAATGCTGACATAATCATCAATAATTCTATAGGCAGGCCTTTTACCCGAGTTTGAAGCAATTATATTGGATACCCCCCCCCCCCCATCTTTTACTAATAACCCCATATCAGTTTTTACAATGATTATTATATTATTACAAACCATTATGAACAAATTACACATTGAAAGAGAAATCATTATACTATAGAGAGCCTTGGCAAGCCCAACGTCAACCTAGAAGCCAGGCTTTCAAGCAAGTCTGATGTCTACAGGTAGTCCATAATACACAAGAAGGGCTTGTGGTGTGTCAATGTTCCTAAGGGCATCAAGGACCCCGGGCAATGCTCACACCAGAACCTTTTCAAAGAAACAATTTTTGCAAAGAGTTTCGAAGGACAGCCCTAGTGTGTCAAAGTTCAGAAGAGTCTCATGGACCCTAAGCAGTGCTCACACTGGGGGTGGCCGGACCCTAGGTAACTAAGAGTAAGAGTTGCAAAACAGTATTCAAGGGTAGGGGATAGTTTTGTGAAAATGGTTTAATTTCATAAGAGAATAGAAATAAGTTGCAAACAGAACAACATCATATTTCAGCATATTGATTCAGGTATAGTTACCAGTAGTTAAACTAAAACAGGAACACTGGAATCACAGACAGAACAGAGTCACAAACAAGGTTTCACATTGCTGGAGTTGACTTACTCTATTAACTATTACTAAGTGGAATCATATAGACATGTATTTTACAGATAGAAACATGCTGAAGTCAAATGGCTAATCAGGCAGCCATACAGAAAAGATAGTAATAATCTAAAGCATATTACTCTTGAAAGAAGTACACAAAAACCATGAATTGATCAGGAACATGCTAAGGGAGATTATCAGCATATAAAACAGAACAGGAATTTGGGCATGCTAGTTGAGAAATAGGTAAATAACTGTCGTGGATCAAACAGGAACATGGTCAAGTGTACTAACTAGGAAATAGGTAATGCTGGTTGAGAGAGAACAATAAAAAGGAACATAGAGCAAACAGAAGCATGTTGAAAAACAAAATAAACTGACTACATAGCATATAGAGGAGAGCATGATAATAGAAATTGAGGCATAGCAGTTAAGGAGATAGCAAACATGAAGGTGAAGATGAACAAAATCCAAGAGCCTAGCCTTGGCTTTCAGTCGGCTAGACAGTGCAGCAATTCAAAGAGACTTAAGTTGTGTAAGTGTGTAAGCAAGAGTTGTGTGTATTGTTGATACCCAATTTTTCCTATAATATTTTTCAAAATGCTTATATACCCCAAAAACTACGCGGTATCATCAATTAATATTTTCCATAATTTCTGCATTTAAAGGGTTCTAATTAATTTATTGCAGTATATTTATTTATATAAACAATTAATAATTGCATCAAAAATAGTTTTATAATAATTTTTTGGCTTAATTTTATCATTTACATTTGTACTAAATTTTAATTATTTCACAAATATCCATATTTGCATTTTTGGGGTTATAATTGCAATAACTTTACAATTATAGCCCATGCATGCATTATTACATTATTCTACCAGAAAATAGTATTTTTTAAATACTAAGTAATTCTTTTGAAATATTTCTAGGCATGAAAATCATTTTTTATAATCTGTTAATTATTTAAAAATTGTTTTTATTAATTAAATGTGTATTTAACAAATAGCCCTTTTTATTTTCGGACATAGCCTAATTACACAGCCCAAATTCGGTCCCAGTTCAATTAAAACCAGCCAAATCCATCCCAGCGCAAACCAATTAAATTCAACCTGCCCCAACCCCGCCATCAATCGTGACAGTTGATCTCTAAGATCAACGGTCCGTATCATTCGTTTCCTTTTTTAATTTCCAAATACCCCTAACCCTAGTTCATTTTACACAAAACAGCCGCCCTAAATTCCGTGACCTCTCCGTCTCTCTCTGAGACCCAACCATAACCCTAGCCGCCGCCACCCAAAACTAGCCCTAATATCTTCGATTCCTACCTGTTTCATGGATTTCCATGGTTGTTTGAGACTTCTACTAGTCTCCTACTTCTCCTGGTTGCCCGATTTTGTTATTTCATGGAAAGATCTAGAAGAGATCTAGCCAGATTTTGTTCGAGACTCTTCGAGGGTCCGCATATGGTTTGTGAGTGTTACTATCTCGATGTTTGTGGTTCAAATCT